GAACAGTGTAGCCTAAGAAAAATATCACAGATGAAAACGCAGTAACACAGAATAACACTCAAGCCCCAAAGCAGTTAAACAGTACAAAATGATCATCCATATAATCTTCAGGTATGTTGTTATATCCTTCCATTATCCCGTCGCAGTAAATAAGAATATAAGCCACAATAAATAACCTTATTTCTACATATATGTTTCAGCTCTATTCAAGAACACAATGCAAAAAGTCTGGCATTGCACAATTAGGTAGACTATATAGGCTCAATTTTAAGTGTATATGAAGTTCATTCAATAAATCACCAGTGCTTATTGGTTTGATGACCTCTGGCAAATTCACCAACCTAAATATATAATTACTAAATGGCTTAAAGTTACAACATTATACGAATTATGAGAGATCAACAGTTGTTCAGTGCACATCAACACATAAAACGGTAGAGCACAAATGTTTTATGTATTTAGCCAAGAATGCCATTCATTAAGTTGTTTCAAAATATATAAACAAATAATTGAATACATACTCCAGAGGCTTGCAATTTCATTAAACATAATATTTTATAAAGTATAATATATATAGTTTGAACTTTTAATGGCAAAATAAAAAGTTTTATTACATTCGTCCAAACACTGTTTTCGACGTCACTTGTGAAAGTTGTCAGGATCCAACTTTTTTGCTCCTTGCCTGAAGTGAAGGAAGTTGTATTGTGTACGAGTTGTTTGTAGCCTACAGAAGCTTTTCAAAGTGATATTTCCGGAGACGGTATATTAGCTATAGGCCTACATTATAAGCCTATGGACCCCGGGTTACAATATTAGCACACTGTAAAGGGTTCAAAATATTATTGTTATATCAGAATCATTGTTTCCGTCCTTTAAACATGTTACAATGATTAATATAATTTCTGCTAAATTTCGAAGTTTCAAATTTTCAGATTTTCTTCTACTAAAAAGGGGCCATGAACTTATCGTAACTTGGCAGCAATGTTTATGGTTAAATTTATAAAATTAAATGGGTGGGATTATTATTATTATTATTATTATTATTATTATTATTATTATTATTATTATTATTATTATTATTATTATTATTATTATTATTATTATTATTATTATTATTATTATTATTATTATTATTATTATTATTATTATTATTTTATTATA